TCATCGTCTGTAGTGTTGGATCTCAGCAGATAGAGGTTATCTGATCCTTTCTTGAGTGGCGAGACTTACAGCTCAGCTCATGTTCCTGCCATTTCAAACCAGTGTTTTATCTCCCGTGTATTCTCCAGTCTAGAAATTATGTTCTCTGCCTGAATCTGCTTGTCTCTTCAGTTGCTCTTTGAATCACGTGCCAGTGGGAGCAGCCACACAGGATTATCAAAGGAATTTCTTATCCAGAGGTGCTAACACTTAAATTTTATTTATTTTTAAACTTAATTTGCAACCTTCATGGAGCTGTGACACAAGGTCCGTTTCTTGAAAGCAATTTTCTTTGGTCAGACCTGTTAACCTGTGTTAACGATTGGACTTCTCTAGCCAGGAAGCTGCCTGGCCTGGGCATCTTTCCTCGATGGGTGGAATGACTGGGCTTCTGTGGAAAACCATTCTTTAAAAATAAAGATTTATCTTTGCTGTTTTCTTTGCAGAAAGAAATCAAAAGAAATGGCTCTTAACGTTGGCTGCTCTGTTAGAAGTTAAGGATCCTGGTAAAGTATTTACTCTGAATGCCTGAACAGCATTAACAAAGCAGAGTGGTCCTGTTGTGTGGCACAGACACGTTTCTCCAACCAGCCATGCTTGTTTATTGAGAGAAAATGTTCTCTGACACTGCAGACTGATGCTGTTTATTTAATGGTCCTTCTGCGGGTGCCTTGGAGAAAACCCTTGTTCCTCCTTGCCTGTCTTGGAGAAAACTCTTGTTCCTTCTTGCATCATAAGTATCTGCCTGCAATTTTTGTTTTGGGGGACTTAAACAATTTTTGTATCTGTTAGCTTTTAAAAAAGCCTAACAACTTTTTTGAAAGAGAGAGCTGTAGGTAGAACATCCTTTCCTATTGATAGTCATAGAAGAGAAGTAGGTGGATGACGTAGGACGCCGCCCATGGATTGCTTTTGCATCCTTAAGCTATTTTCTTCCAAACCTTATTGGTTATCTGAAGTAGGCGTGGAGCAGGAAATAATCCTTGTTTGCAGATGAATTGCTCGAGAATGTTTCCTCAACATGCAGAAATAGGGAGACGCACCTGCTCGTGTGGCTGCAGCACGAACTGCATCAAATGGTTGGGTTCACACAATCTGGCAGGAGAAAAGTGACGCAAATTTGGAAACAAGCAACTGGGAGGTGGGAAAATGAACTGGTCTTTTTCTTCCATGGACCTCCTCCCTGACACATACAATTAGGTGACTTGTCTTAAGATGGCGAAATGACCTGCTGGCTTTGGGAAGGATGGACTGTGGTCACAAGCCTTGGGTGAGGGGACGTGGGCTGAAGGGGGAGTGTATTTAATGAGGCAGGCAATCCCCATGACTAACACAGCTTTTGTGGAGGAACACGTGTTTGTGTTGTGTTGTCGAGCAGGAAATGCCAGATGTATGTTTATAGATGAGAGTTACCTTCTAAACTCTGTGAATGTCTTCACAGTGAGTCAAAACAGAAATACTCTGCTAAATTGAGATAAGTTGAGCTTCTGTAAAGCTCGTTCATACTCTTTGAACAGTTTTTCTACTGTCCTCGCCCTCACTTTGAATTTTAGATAGTGCCTAGGTAAGATGGGTACCAAAATGCACAGCATCATCAGAACACCTAGTGTTCTTGATACTGGGATTTCTTGTATCTGAAACTGGCTTGCAGTCAGCTTGCTGTGTTTCTCACACTGGTTAGGTAAGGGGCAAGTAGCTCAACCTTTTCCTAGCTGAATAGCATCAATTTCTCGTGCTCTGGTGTGGTTTGGAGGAACATGTAATTTACCTGTACGTGAAAACATAACTAAACACCTAGTTATCTGCAATTGCAGTTTGCAGCTATCCTGCAGTCTGTCCTTGGTAGCTGTATATATCCTTTTATTTATGTTTGGCTGGGGGTTTGTTACTGTTTGTTACTTTCTCTTGAGCTAGGAAAGAAAAACCCAACCATTTGTTAATTCCGATAAACAGCCAGAGGGTAGGGGCAGTTATTTGCATTGTGGATATTTGCTGTTGTTGGGAGACGGACTCTTTGTGGTGGGTTTTGTAGCTTGCTGCAGATGCAGGTGTACTGCTGTGAGTCATCTTTTTACTACTGTACTTCAGGCAACAGGGAAAAAAAGCAAGATTTCCTGAAGCAAAACGCGTTGTCTCTTTACCCTTCAGCTTTGCTGGTGTAACTAAACCAGCAAGGGGTCTGAATTGTGATGAGGTGAGATGTGACAGGAGAAAAAAAAAAAAATTCAGCTTTTTCGTATATTTGCTTTGTGTGTATGACAGCACTTGGTTTGTTTCCCTGCTATAATTATCCTGTCTGTTCTAAGATTAGGGTACCAGTATGACATGGGCCAAGGGCTTGTAGGCTGGATAGCGCTTGTGCAGGCAGTGGCACTTCTGCTGGTAGAGCTGGGTTGTGTCCTCAAATAAAACACAACTGTGTTGGAGGAGGGGAGAGGAATTTTCACATTCAGATTGCAGCGACGTGAGAGACTTTTGCCAGCACGGCTGTCTGTTGGGCTCTGCTTCCCCGTGCCACTGATTGACACGATCCACTGGCAAAACCCTATGGATGTGGGGGGGGGGATTGTTTTAAGGCACTGCCTCCTTTTATTTGTGGTTTATCAATGAAGTAGAAAACTGTAATAAAACCATAAGCCTTTATTGCTGTTTTTTCCATGACTGCATTTTCAGTCGATGTATCTTGTTAGTCGCAATTAAAAACGTTCTTGTCCTCCTTTGTAAGGAATGCGCCAGGGTGGGGAAGATGTGGGGAATTTTATTTGTTTTGGTTTGTGAGGCTGGCTACACGATAGACCCTACTTTCTGTATGCTTATTTCCAGCTTGCCTATACCTTAAAAAGATGGAAAGCATCCAACATGTAGCAGGAGCTTCTCTGTTGGTTCAATTATTTCTTAATCCTCTGTGTTTTTTGCAATTTAGGCCTATGAGTTTATTACAAAACAAGAACAGAGTGAAGCTCTGAGAGGTTCTGGCTGTTCAGGAAGTGGCTTTTAATGGTGATGGTAGCAGGCATTAAACCCTTCAGCTGTAACTACTCATTCTGTTGAAGAAATGTTTGTAAAGCATTATAAATAGTGGTTTTCCATGTTTCAGATCTATTTGTTTCACTTTCAGCTGTCAACACTTCAGATTGTTACTGAAATGCCTTATTCTTTTAAGACATCTCTGTTTCTTACAAAGTATCTCCTCTGTTCTCATTAGTAGCTCCCTGACAGTCCCATGGTTAAAACTGTGAAGCGGGTTCTCAGGGTATTCAGAGAAAAAAAAGCCATCCAACTCCTGTTATACCCAAAGTGTTTCTGGTAGTCTTCAGCAAGGTTTATCAGAGATTTGCAGCAAGGTTATTCAGTTCTGTTGGTGTGGTTCAACAGAGAGGAAATTGTGTGGCAAAATTAGTTAAATCTATCTGGGTGCATACCTCATTAAGTACATGAATCATCTAATTTAGGGCTTTTAAATAACATGACCTATTTCAGTATAGGGAAATACCCCTCGCGGGCACCTGTGCATTGAAGATCTCTTGCAGGTGCTGGAGGCTTGAGGAATTGATAGGAGTTTCAGGCTGGTTTTGCTAAAGCTAGGGATAGTTTACTTTCTAATATTAGCACTTTAGGTTTAATAATTAATGTGAAAATAACTTGAGTAGTGTATGTGCCTGAATGCTTTGCACAGTTGGAAGAACTAGAGAGGATGGGAGCATTTGTACTCTCATTTCAAAGATTGTTTGCAAAGATTGTTTGGCTGGGAAACTGCAGAACCCCGATATGCTCTAAGTAGCCGGTTTAGTCCCGAATATATACTTCAAGTATTATTTTGAATTTGATCATTTGGGATTGAGTAGAAAATATTCAGGATATTTAATGGCTTCATACAGAAGATTGAGATAGCCAGTCGTGGCGATGGGTTCTCGGCATTTCGCTTTCTTGTGAGTTCTTGGGAATCCAGAATTCTGCAGGAATAGCATTTCAGCTGGTGTCACAGGCCTTGCAATGGTAAACAAGCCACTGTCAAGCACTGAAAGAAGTTTTTAAATAGAAACTAGACTCGTAAGTTGACTTTCTGGCTCCTGCTTGACCAGTGGGGAAGTACTTAGTGCACACAGGGGATTGCTGGTTTCGCTACTTTGCATAGTGTTTTTCTTGGTTCCTGAAGAAGTGAAACAGTTTACAGGGCTTACCAGTTTGATTCATTAGGCCATATTGGGAGTCAGTGAAAGCCTGTGTAAATGAGGGTGCTAATTAATAGAAGGCAAAGCCCAACTCCTCCATCCAAAACAGAATATGCAGCTCTGATATGAGAAATAGGGAAATGTAATCGGAAAAAGTTTCCTTTAACTGCGTAATGATCATATGGGATTGCACACAAATTGGATTGTAATTTCTCTCTCTCTCTCTTTTTAACATCAGTCATTTCTCTCCTCTCCTTTCCTTTGAACCTGTGTGGATTAGTTACGCTGCATGCTAAAAATTGAGGGAGGGACTTGAAAGTGAAGTAGGGTTCCAGAGTTAAGGACTGGCACAGGTTTTAAGTGCAAGTACGCGAGGCTTGGATATTGTCAATGTGTGACTTTTTTTGCCTTCCATCTAGATGAATAAAACTTGCTAGCATTGGAGATGCAAGCAGAACAGTGATTAGAAAATAGTTACATTCACAAGCTTTATTTTGTACTGGCAACTTGTTCTCTCGTTTTTTTTTTTTTTTTCCCCCGGTATTGCTGTCCTGAATTGTGTATGGCAAATGGAAATCCCTTTAAAAATTGCTTATTACAGACTTCGGAGGTAGGTTTATCTGTCTGAACAAATACTGTTTTACATTTTATTTCAGATAACCAGTGGGGCAGTAGCAGTGGTGGTACGCCTTTAAAAACTGTATGCTTAATGGGATTAAGCCATATTCTGATGTTAGTGTTTAAGATGATGTAACTTGAATACTAATTTTTTGTTTTGTTTCTTTGAAGCAAATGGTTATGAGCCTTAGAGTTTCTGAACTGCAGCTACTTCTGGGTTACGCGGGGAGGAACAAGCACGGACGAAAACACGAACTTCTCACAAAAGCACTGCATTTGTTAAAGGCTGGCTGCAGTCCTGCTGTACAAATGAAAATCAAAGAACTCTATAGGCGAAGGTTCCCTCAGAAAATCATGACACCTGCAGACTTATCTATCCCCAGTGTACACTCGAGCTCCATGCCAGCAACTTTGTCTCCGTCTACCATTCCACAGCTCAGTTACGATGGCCACCCTGCCACGTCACCATTGCTTCCCGTTTCGCTTCTGGGACCTAAACATGAACTGGAACTCCCCCATCTCACATCTGCGCTCCACCCTGTCCATCCTGACATAAAACTTCAGAAATTACCTTTTTATGACTTGTTGGACGAGCTGATAAAACCTACCAGCCTAGGTAAGGTTGCCAATGTTGTAATAATATTTGAAGGATTTTTTTGTTTTGGTGTGGTTTTTTTTTTTTTAGATAGTAATGGATTAATTCAGCAGCTAACACAGTAACTGGTTAAATATTGCATCACAGCAGTGTTTAGAGAATCGCTATTTTTGGTAACTTTTGGAACAGATTGTTCTACATGGAGAGACATCTTACGTAACACTCATTAGTTGCTTTAGCTGAGCCACTAAATACTGTTCAAAGATCCATTATATTTAAGGGGTGAGTTTGACAAGAAACAAACTACACCTTAGAAAAAGGAAAAAACCTGCTCGCTTTCAGTAGTTCTTATAAACCATAAAATTTAATTACTTAAAAAACCAAAGCAAAAATACCCCTGAATCCATCAAGCCCACAAAATCTTCTCATCTGTGCTGGGAAAGAATGCCAAGCTAGATATTTGCTGTGATGCAATACAGCCTGAACGTCTGCGTTTAGGAAGACTTGTGGTTCTTTTGCAGTTGTGACTACTTTTCTTTAAACTGTCTTTTGTACTAAGGTATAAATCACTGGTGTAGCTGCTGAGAATAATCTGATGCTTACAGAGCATTATATAACAACGTGTGATTTTTCTGGCTCTGACTCCACATAACACTTAACAGCGTGGTTAACTTTTAATACTCTTAAATACTGCTTAAGTACAGTAGTCCTGTTGATTTCTTAAGGGGCTGCTTGCATGTTGGAGCCTTCTGCTGTCTTGAAACTCCGGAAAAGATTCGCTGCGAGAATAGCTGGTAGCAGGAGATTTGTGAGAGTAGATACAGGGTGATGGTGGGTAGTGGGAAAAAATGTCCTTTGTGAAAGAGATCCCTCGTAAACAAAAATGAGCAGATACTTCACATTGACAGTCTGAACAGCTACAGGGATGTAGGTGGCCTCATATGTGAGTGGTGATGGTGGTCTGCAGATTTCTGAAGTGTGTTGCACAGTTATTTGCGTATTTTTTTTTTGCTTTAACTGTTATAACTGAGACATTGAGGGAAAACTAGATAGCTTTTGATAATCTCATCTTCTGGTTCAGGTATTCTTTTAAGAGGTATACTGTATGTATTTAGCTTTAATCTAAAACCTAATTGATTAATAAGCATTCCAGGAAATGCTGGTGATACATGATAATTATGGATTCAGTATGTGTCTCCATCACTTCTACGTTATAAATACTTAAAAATAATGCTATAATTTCACTAAGACATTCCAATGCAGGAATTATGGTATGCATTTATTCCTCGATGTGGTAAGAACACTTCGCTGTCAGCTCCATGTTTGACAAACTAGACCCAAATGAAGAGATCGTAATTCATGCTCTGTCATGTCTTACTGCTTGAGGAGTATATGCAATATATACAATAGGATATTTTTTCCTCTCTTTGTGGACTCTTTGAGAGTTGGGGTACGAAAATGGAAATGAGTGAAATTCCAACCAGATACCCTTCAGTTAACTGAAAGAACAGAGATTGCTTAGAAAGGTATGTTTGAGGGTTTTGTTTTGCATGTGCATCCTATGATATCTTTCTGTCTCAAGCAATAATATTAAAAAACTTTTTTTCTTGTGCTTTTGGGGGGAAGAGAGAGCTTCAGTGTCCATGCATATGAGAAACGGTTGGCTGTTTCCTTTTGCAGTGGAAAGTAGCATTGCTACAGATTGTAAAATTGCTAACTATAAATGTCATGAAGGTATTTTAGAGTAATAAATATATATATGTGTGCGTGTGTGTGTGTTAATGAAAAAGGCTGTTGGGTTAATAACCGGTGGTATGCGGCTTTATACACTTTCAAAACAACTTGGAACAATATTGCATACAACTTAGCAGTTTTTAATGCAAGCCTGCTCCATACTTGCATTTATTTTCTCCATTTATGCAGTTACTGGCACTCTTAACTAAAAGTATTCTTAAATGATTTGTTGAGTATTTGCCCCAAATGGTTTGGGCATCCTTCTCACCACTGCTAACAATGTGAGGTTCCTCAAATGTCAAGTTTCTAGGTTCCCTGCCTTTGTTTTCAAATGGCAGATGCAGATTACAAACACTCAGAACTTTTCTGTGGCATTTGGTCATCATCTCCTGCTTGCTTTTTCCCATCGGATTCCTCATGGGGTAGGGATAAGAAACTTTTGCATTTACTCTGTTTCTCTCCACCACAAGAACAAACAGATGACCTGATGTGGGGTTTTGAATAATTATCTGCCTGCTTAAAATGGGACCTACTGGAATAGAAAAAAAATGTGTGTGTGAGAGAGAGAGAGAATGCGGTCTCCGCTGATTTGAGGATTTTTGGATTCTTCTGAAATGACAGTCATTACATAAAAGTTGGGCAAAGTGCATCTTTGGAAGTGATTCTCCTCTGTCTTTCCCAAGTCGAGGTGGAATTGCTTGGAAGGTTTGCTATAGTAGTCTTCTGTCCCATCAAGATGTGATTATTAATTTGAAAAGCAGTAATTTGCCAAAGCTGTGGGGAAGGGAGTTGCACAGCAGGGCACTTGAACATGCATTCTGTACCCAGATATTTTACGTAGGTGTGTAGTACACAAGCTAATGTGAATAACAGATAAGGAAATTAAATTTGCTAACTATTACTTTAAATGTCAATAACAAAAGGAGGAAATGGATGTTACCTTCACACACTTGCTTTCTCAAAAGGTAGCTCTGAACTGTGATTAAAATCCACATGCTGACTGCTTGCTGGGCAGGATTAATGGCAAGGGGGATATGCAGTGCTTTATCCATCCATCCCTTTCTCACCAACAGCTATTGAGAATCTTTACTTGAGCACGGCTGACTGAAGTATGTCTGACAAGCTAAGGTTAGAAGGCTATTGGCTAATGTTTTTGTTTGCTTGCTTGTTCATTTGTTTGGTTTTTTTTTTTTAAACTTTCTGGTTTACAGCAGCCCATACAACTTGTAGCACTGAAAAGGATGCTTGCAGAAGAGTAGACTCACCTAGCTAGTTGAACTTGTAAACTCAGCCTATGCTACCTCAACCGGCTCTTGTTTGAAGAACTGAAAATAGCAGCTAGGCCCTGCTGACGGTGGGACTCTTCCCCTGCTGTTACACTGCTCAGATAGCAGAGTCTTTCTCTTCCTTCCGAGTGTTTCAAGTACATGACTCCTGCTTAGCTCTTTCAGAGCCGTGTGGCTAGTACTGACAATTATGGTTATGCTGGCTGTGGTGTTGGGGGATGACAGCATTTTCTTTACTCCCAAGAAGACTGTCAGTGGGCTTGTTTATCTGAGACGAAGAGAAATCTGTCCACGTTCAGTGGAGCTGTCGAATTTGATGCATATTTTATTAGTCATCCTCATTGCAAAATTGAGAAAGCATCTATATTGGATGCTTTTGTGTACAAGCCAACTAGGAATGCTCGACGTTCTGAAAACGTATGTCAGTGGATGAATCTGTACACAGAGCTCTTGCAGCTCTAGTGAGAAGTCTGAGCACTCTGCCCCATGGTTAACCATGATTTGATGTGATTATAGGACTGGGTTTTTTTTTTTTTGGAGGAAAAGCTATCCTGTCTGGCCTTGATGGTATGTATGGAAGTTGCCTTGTTGTGACTTCTCTGTTGTTTTTTGAATAGGAACTCCTTTAAATAGAAGAATTTTGGTTGTTAGTTTCTCAAGTGAAGCTGCAGCTTTCACTTAATTTTTCCCTATTTTCAGCCCTCAGTGCACAGAGACTGCTAATTGGTTGTTTTTTAAGCATAGGGCCAATTTTCTAAAAGTAACTTCTAACACACAGATAAGATCTCTTTTGTGTTTACTGTAAGATGAGTAACAAGTACCAAAATTTTGCCAGATAGTTACGGGAAGGACATTAGATGGTTAAACAACATCTTAAGAATACTTCTTGTTACAGCATATGTCATTCCTAATTGCTTTAGCTATGTAGTCGTTCCAAAAAACATTTTAACTAGGTTGTGGGCCTTTACTTATCTGTAAAGGGAAATTAACCTTTTATTTTCAATTTAATGGATTAAAGAGGCTGTGGGCTCTGCTACTCTTTTAAAAGCTGTCTGAATGGCGTATGGATGATCATCTACAATTTAGTTGCTGTGCTTCAGGTTTAAGTGATAGGGCGAACAATACTGAAACTCGTATCTGAGCAGTGGAAATCAGGTTTTTTGCCTGCAGGTCTCAGCCTTCTGTAAAGAAGAGACAAACATCAGGCTTTTTGGGGAATCAGAGTATCACTTACAGAAAGCATGCTGCCAGACTCCAGATACTGGCTTCATTGGGTAAAAGGAGCTTCCAGTGGCTCTACTGAGGCTTGTCTTGATTTGGTTAGGTCTCAGTTTAATTCCTTAATCTGTGGACTCTAATAACAGGATTTCTCTGAGAAACATAGAATTATGTGCTTACTAACCAGCATTTGTGCTTCTGACTTGCATTTACCTTGAAATTTTCTTTTTGACTGTCATCACGGTTACTTGGGCATGCTGTGTTCTTGAAGACAGATCTTGCAACTAATCTGGCTAAAATCTTTAGGGTGACTGTAGTTCCAGGTACAACTATTAAACAATTAAACAATTCAGTGCACTTGGAAATCCAAGTTGGGAACTATAAAAAGCTTTATTTGGCAAGTATTTGTCCCTCTCACATATCAGCAAGCTGATCTGTTGCTTTGTGCAATCAGTATTAGGGTTTGTATGAAAGTCACGCTTTTACTGTCTTCTGTGTTTGTTATTTTTTCAAATGTACTTTGTGGGAGGAAGTTCAACAAAACACTATATTCTCAACTAGGGCTTGAGTTTTCTGACTTCCGGTTTTATAGCTTTTAACTGTGCAAGGGTAAGCTGAGCTATTAGCTGTCTTGTTCATGTGCTGTAGCTGAACCAGAACTACAGTGTGCTTAAGTTTCTTTTTTTGGCTTCAACTTGTATTTGCATGTGGTATGCCTCAAGTTCATGTATAGAGACTCTTTCCATAGTCTAGAGTCTGTTTCTTTTAAGTATGAGAGAGCAT